CAAGTAGCATACTGATAGGAGGAGAGAGCAAAGTGATAGATGACCACATGAGTCTTCTGCTGTTCCTTCACTGTTCAGTCACAGTCTACGGGTGAGGACAAAACCTAGTTATATTATCTAATTGCTGTAGAGAAGAGTCATGCCACCAGTTTGGTTCTGCTGTCTGGTAGAGCTGTGTGAACATATTTATTTATTTCAGGTACTTATATAGCGCCGTCAATTTACACAGCGCTTTACATATATATATTGTACATTCACATCAGTCCCTAACCCTCAAGGGGTGTACAATCTAAGGTCCCTAACTCACATTCATATACAAGGGCCAATTTAGACAGGATCCAATTAACCTACTAGCATGTCTTTGGAGTGTGGGAGGAAACCGGAGTACCCACGCAGGCACAGGGAGAACATGCAAACTGCAGGCAGGAGGTGCAGTGGCTTGGATTCGAACCAAGAACCCTAGTACTGCCAGGTGGAAGTCCTAACCATTTAGCCACTGTGCTGCCCATATAAACACTTTGGTAGGTAAAACAAATTTCATACATTTATTTTTATTGCGTTATAGCTGTTTGTCTGGTGTACAGTTTAAAAGCAGAATTACACACATAACAACCAAATCCAAATATAATAAACACATACCCTAGTGTACATATGCCGTATTTTGCATCTACTTTAGATACCCCTAATCATTTCAGGCAATCAGTCCCTTGCATGTATGGCCAAGCAAAAACTGTATTATCCTCTCAAATCAAAGGACAGATTTTAAATGGGAAGAATACCGTATAAAGGGCAGTTAGATTTCTTAAGCATCACATATCAGCATCTGTATGGGTCCAGAAAACCTTATACTGTAACTGCAGCTGTTCAATATTCTGCACAGATCAGACAGAACTAATAAGCCTAAAATATCTCCATGCACATTAGATATATGGCTGTGGGTGTGCTATGCACCAGCGCCTCTGTATGAATAGTTGGCTACAGAAGCATGGAAAAAACTGCTCATACATCTCCGCCCACAGCTTTATAAGTGACTATTATGCAATATCAATTTATAGATGTTGTATTTTTCAAGGAAGCAAGCTTGTGTTGTTATGGTATGTCAAAAAATGCATCTTGATCTGTTTTTTATTTCCCTTTAAAGTATATGTGAACCTTGTAATACAGCCTATTCAGTTTAAAACAGAAATGCAAAGCAAAACATTTGTGTAGTTATATTTAAAAAAATATAAATATCTTGTTTTTTCATTTTTTAAGTGCTCACATGACCTCTTTTCTCAGCAGCTTAAGAGAGTTAGAGGTGGGGGTGGAGACTGCAGAGGGTGTGGCAGCAGGAGTTAGAGAAACAGCAGTACACTGATCTTCCCAGTGAAGAGCTGTGCGAGGGGGTAGCGGGTCAGCAGATATCTGACCACTGGAGGACAGCCAGGTTGTATTCCCAAGTAGAAGGCAAAAGGAAGAAAACTGACCACGCAGAGATGGATGTGGTCAGTTTGAAATAGAAAAGCAGAAGTACTAGCAGGATCACCAGGTATTTCATATAAAGGAAGCAATGCAAAGAGAACAGGATACTTTTTTATACAAGTACATGGTAACACAGACACATATCAGGAATATGAAACACTGGGGTAATATACACTGAAAACAATGCAGAAAAATGATCTGTTCCACAGCTAATAAAGCTGAACACCAGCCTTACCTTTACCCTTACACCACTGTACAGGCTCCTCTCTAGCATTGACAGTGATCTTCACATCCAATATCATCTAATCCTTTGCTCCCAAAGCTGAATTGTCCTTGCCCTTTTCATTCGTTGGATTTTCAGTCTGCCTAGGGATACTAATTCCACTAGAAAAACATTCACCCATCAAGACTTTTTAATAATGACTCCTCCCAAGAGCCAGCCCACTGTTTGCATCAAGGCAGGGGGCTCTAGAGAGAAGTGCTGAGGCAGGGTGCTGTGAGGTTTTCGGGAAGCTATGTATAGCACTCTGTCAATCCCACCATCAGCTATGATGTGCTTGCATTGCAAAGAGAAGCACAGAGACCCAGTTCAGTAAATCTAAAATAAGGTATGTCATGAAAGGTTTTTTTTTTTTTAAATGCAATTAACATGTTGATGAAAAGGGAAAAGGAGTAACCATGGATGGCAAATATAAGCAGATTAACCTTCAGCTTTAAGTACAGTATAATCCAGCTGGAAGTGAAAGCCAGTAGCACTTGGGGTTCATTTACACCAGGTGTTCTGGGACTGTGTTGGGCAACCTTGCCCAGTGCAAAACAAGGGAAAAAGCATTGTTTCCTATGGTGTCAGTTCACACCACTGAATTGCAGCTGTGTGCACTGAAAAAAGTATTGTATGTAGTACTTTTTTGAGCACAGCAGCCTGTAATGCAAAATACTGCACTGCAATGCCACTATATGAATAGTTTATTTTTGACATTTCAAAACAATTCAGACAAAAAAAAAAAAAAAGGTAAACAGTGCAGTGCTCCAGGGTTGGCGCATCAGTACTGTTCCTGCCAGCGCACACAGCAGGGGCCGAGCATTCCGGGCGCCCTTAAGACACCCTGTAGGCGGATCGACATTTGGCTGGTTCAGACAACCCTGGTGTGACTGCTGAGGAACTGAAAAAGATTTGCAGATGTCGGGTACAGAAGTTATCAGCCCAGACAATAAGACGAACTACTGAACTGGGCAAGATTTGATCCATCTATGGCCATTCCCACTCAATCCAATGATTGACTTATATCGAACAGAAATGTTGGAAAACCTTTTTTGATCAGCAGCTTCCAGTCAATCAGCTGCAGCACTGATCAGTGTATTCTGACAGTGGAGAGTCCCGCTGTGAGAATACAACGGCATAGTGGGGAGAATTCCTCCAGCTATTGCGCATGTGTGGATGGAGATATTTGTTCATCTTTTTTTGATCAGCCCACTGGCTGATTGAAAAAAATGAACTGTCTATGGGCAGCCTTAGAGAGAGACAAATGATATACACAATACACTAATCTCAAAGTAACCTTTAGGCAAATTAGTAACAACACAAGTGTCTGAGCAAAACAAAAAAGATTATCATCACTGCACTGTTCTCATCAATTAGCTGGAAGTGACATTTCCTAGAGAAAGGCGGCTTCCTTTGCACCTTGTTTATTGACCCTGTTGGACTGGAAGTAAAAAGGAAAGGCTCTTTATCTAAGGTGGTGACTGTGTGAGTGATTTACAGCCTTTTAACAGACTAGAAGATAAATTCAAAGCATGTGCAGAGTGAGTGTCATTAGGGGAACTGAGATAAAAGAGTAGCCCAATGAACCTGCCCTTGAACACTGGTGAGTTAATGACACAAAACAACATTACTAAATAAAAATATTACTGTTTACTCTATATAGCACAAGGAACAAGTGAAATCATTCAAAGAACTGGCAATGCAATTCAAGAATGATGTTATCAGCCAGAAAAAAATACTATTTATTGGAATTTTATTTAAATCATTTATTTAAATTATTATTATTATTATACAGGATTTATATAGCGCCAACAGTTTGCTCAGCGCTTTACAATATAACGGGAGACAATACAGCAACAATGCAGTTCAATACAAGAGGGTTTGGAGGGTCTGCTACTTGGAGCTTACAAACTAGGAAGGAAGGGCTAGTGGTACAAAATGAAATATGAACAAAGCATATCCCTCTATAGCATGTATTTGTGTCAGCCCATGGTACCAAGTTTCATTTCTGGCTGCTGCCTCCTTCCTCTGTTAAGCATGAGTCACTTCTGACAAATTTTCCTGACACCAAGTACAATATGGTGACAGGAGAGGGAGCTCCAGCCGATTGAAAACCTCAGCTCTGTTCCTATTAGCTGTGTGAAGGGGGGCATGTCCCTTCCCTCCAATCAGCTCTCAGAGCTTTCCTCACTGACGTAACCTCAGTGTAAATTCTGCACTTTGAATGGATTTAGAGAAGATAATACAGAAGGTAAACAGGTACAACTTATGTAGGAGGATTTGTTTCATCTCTGTGTATTACCTGAGGCCAGTCACTTCACTGGGTATACAGTATGTAAGGGTTTGCAACAACTTTAAAGTAGATGGAAATGCAGCATATATTGAACAACCCAATGATTCCTATGGCCTAGTTTTATCACTATCATCGGCTTAATGAATAAAAATGCCACTGCAATACCTTTTTTTTTTACTTTACATGAATACACTGCACCACATAGAGTAAATGACTGCAACTACCGTGCACTATTCGTTCCAAACAAGCGAAAGTAAGGGGGGGGGAGAGGTTTAGGAGCTCACAGAGGACATTACAAGGAGGCAGAAAAGCACAGTAAGGGTTGCTTTGCTCTCTGAAGAGTGACCTGCATTCAGGTTGCTCTTCAGAAAGCATTTTGAAGGGGGATATTCTCCATCCACCTCCCTTGCATGAATTGCATGCATCTCACTGTGGATCTGTGCATCTGTGCACCTCACTGTCAGAATAGAATGTCCTGGGGGGCAAGGGGGGATATTCTCCATTCACGTCCCTTGCTTGAATGGAGAAACTTAAAAAAAAAACCCTAACCTTCTGTTCCCATTTTAGAATGGCCAATAGGAGGGTTGTTGGATAAGCCACCCTCTGCACAACAAAAGAGGGCACAGAGCAGCGATAGGGTCAATGCATTAGAGGTTGCTGTAGGGAAACATGAGAAACTGCATAATGAGAGATTAGGGTCAGATTTGATTGCTAGCACTTTGGCAGTCAGCTTTTTTTGCTGCTTTTTGTTATTGGAGGCTTTTTATCCAAGGCCTGGTTCACACCTATGCGTGTTGCAATCTGTTGCAGGAAAAAAAGTTCCTGACCCTTTCCAAAAACGCAGGGGCTGTAAACATTTAGATGTGAACATGTCCCATAGGAAACTATGTTAAATGGACTGCAGTGAGTTTCTGCATAATGCAGAAAGCACTAAAAAGGTGAGCCAGGCCTAACATGTTATATTGTGTTTGATTTACACTTGTACCTACAGGAAAGCTTATAATAAAGATTACCTGTAGGTACCAGGAATATTTCCAAAATATGCAACATTTAGGAGATCTTCTCTATTTCTTCAACCGGAGATGTCACTGGCGCATGCGCTCTGAAGGGATGGTATACTCAGGGGCGGACTGACCATTTGGAAACTCGGGCACTGCCCGAGGGCCTGGAGTCAGTAGGGGGCCCCATGAGATGCCCCTGGTACCTATTTCATAGGCTTTTTTGAGTTTGGGTAAGGACACAGGGGCCCCTGATCACATGTAGTAATGCAAAAAATATTGCTCAGCAAGGAAAGGATTTTTTTCATGTGGCTTAAAAGGCAACATTGAAAAGATACAAATCCTTTAAATAATATAGTTGGGTGAAGCCCTAAATCTGCATATGATATTGGAGAAAAGGGCAATGTAGTCCTTTAAAAGCTGCATATAAAAAGGGGGAAAAAACAACGTAGGAATCTTCTTAGCCAGGCTCTTACAGGGTGGCAAGGAAAGGGAGAGCAGCGAGCGGGCATACCCCCATCCTGTACCATAGTAAGCCACGTCTTTTAGCAATGGGGGTACCTTGCGAGCCATAGGGGCAGCAAATTCCTGCCACATTATCTCCCTAATTACAAATGTCCTGCTGCTGGCCAATTTAATACTGCTGTATTGCACACAGGAACTAATCAGGACCGGAAGTAAAAAGTAACTTTATGGGTCCACATGATAGGATTGGAACAGCACATTCCTGCCACCTTATCTCCCTAATTACAAATGTCCTGCTGCTGGCCAATTTAATACTTCTGTATTGCACACAGGAACTAATCAGGACCGGAAGTAAAAAGTATCTTTATGGGTCAATTTCTTGGTTAGTTGTTTCTTTGTGCCTTTCAAGGAAAATCAGTGAAATTCTGGAGGCTGAGGCTCTGACCCCAGCATACGGGCAGTTTTAAAATAGGACATCTATATTTGCATTCTATGTAAAGAACATCCATATTGCTGTTTTTAGAGTTCAGGAAGACACTACAGAATGCACTTCAGCACCAACTCTGAAATATGAAGCGTCACATTTCCAAACCTGGGCTTTGGATTATCTCTTAACAGTGGAACTCCAAAACATTTTTGCTACTTTTTGACAAAACATCAGTCAGATTTATTTTGCTGTTACAAAAGAGAATTCTCAGGAAAGTCAAAGGAAATCTTACTTTTGATAGCTGTCACTGTATAGGTGCCCCCCCGGGAGATTTCCACTATACTCCTGTTTCAACTTCTTTTCTAAATCTCAAGTCAATCTAAGGACGAAAAGATAGCATTGTCCAGCCACGTGTAATGAAGAAGCAGCTCTGGCTATAAAATACTTATAAAATAATTAAACTGCGCAAATACTCCACCCAAATCGTGTACAAAGCAGCAAACACAACAAGAGGATATCCCCTCTAAATCACAAATTATATGAAAAACTTGTGGAATATAAATACCTCAAAAAATTCATGAATAATATACAAATAATATATGTCCAATAGAGGATAAACAAGAACATGCTCAATAGTGAACCATTGTCACAAAACAAATAAATTAAATAAACATAAATAAAATAATCCTTACAGAGTATATAGAACAGTCCCCTTTTTTCTGTGATGAATGATAAAAAATCTTCATTCCAATATAACCACCAACGTGACTTTGTACCGCCGGGATATCAAATTATCAAAGGATCTGGTAAGCCAGGTTATCAAATTGGAGGCTTACCAGTCCTTTGACGCCTTAATTATAGGGCGTCATTACATGCCCAATATATATAACTACCACCCAAGGCTCCTCAGGCCGTCCCAATGTTATGGGGTCAACATATACTCATATGAAAATAAAGAGATGCCTCTCATAGTGCAGTAAATTAAGGCTAAGTTACTTAGAAGAATGAAAATGCACTTACAAGCTTAAAAACATGAATCAGCAGAAACAAGTTATAATGGCAATCCTTACGCAATGATGTCAGAAGGGAGGCTCCTCCCAACGCGTTTCGTTATAACCAGCAGTCTTCCGGGGCTATTACAAAAGAGAGTGAGTGTAATTCTCAGAAAAGTCAAAGGAAATCCTACCTTTTATAGCTGTCACTGGACAGGTGCCCCCCCTGGGAGATTTCCACTATACTTCTGTTTCAACTTTAAAATGGTAGATTTTTTTTCTAAAACCCAAGTCAAGCTACGGACAAAAAGATAGCATTGTCCAGCCACATGTAATGAAGAAGCAGCTCTGGTTATAAAATACTTACCCTGTCACCAATGTTAACAACCCCCCCCCCCCCCCGCACAGACTCACCTGCACGCTGCACCTCTTCCCAGCTGAATGACGCCCATTGAACCCACTTCCTGTGAGCTCTGAGCCTCAAGAGACTGATCTCCATCAAACCTTGGATTCCTAGAAGAATGCTGCAGAAAGTGGCTCCACAGCATTACATGCAGCACTTATGATCTACTTGCTGTTAGGGGAGGAGGGTGATAATTTTTTTTTGCAAAGGGCTGAGGGATGTTCCAATAGTGGGGAGGGGCAAATTGGGGTGGAAAAATTCTAAAGCCCAAAGTTTGGCTTTATGTTTGCTTCATTAGCAAAGGTCAATAAGACAAAAAGTTAAAGCAGAAGGGGGAGAAAAAATCCCCATGCAGTGAGCTGTGCTTTCACTGCATTTGTTAACTGCTCATTTTGTCTATGGGTGAACCCAGAGCTTATACTTATCCGCTCTTTCAATCCTCTGGAAAACGGTGCCTCCCCATGTCCAGTGGTGGACTGTTCCTACCGTCCCCATGTCCAGAGCCAGTCTATGGGCATGATGATGTCAGGAACAGCCCACCGCACAGGACTGCTAGCTTGCAGGGGGAGGGGGGGGGGGGGGCAGAAGCTACAGAGAATGGTCTTGTGCTTAGAGGATGGATGGATTAGGTGAAAGGATTAAATGGAATATAACTGAATCCATTTTGTATACACTAATACAAGATGCTAGTTTCACATACATATATGTGATATGTACACACTAACAAAACTGTCTATGCCAGCTTCATGTAGAAATGAGTGTTTTTGCAAACTTTACAAAAAAGCAGATAAGGTTTACTCTCATTTATGAAAAGTTTTAACCACAACTTGGGTGTTGGGTCAGATTACAGCCATGGTCTTGGGTGTTGGGTCAGATTACAGCCATGGTCTGTGGGCGATAGACCAGATATGGCATGATAGATAAAGCAGAAGAGTGAAAATGCAAACCTCATACAAATAATTGTTGAGTTAAGGTAAAAAAAATGTACATGTATTTGATTGGATGGTCTGAGGGTGTGTTTGCCCAAAGACTACAGTATAATAACCCTGATGTTATGCCAATAAAACTGAAGTGTTTGCAATCGCAACTGAGGTGACTTGAGTGCATTCACTTTCCGAGATCTCGTAGCTGTGTCCAGGTGTGACCGTTGGTATCTTGAGGGGGCCCCCAAGGAACTGGAAAAAGACCACCTACCTACTTTCATTAGGTGAGTATACCTCAACGCTCCTCTAGACAAAAATAAGCAGTTAACCCATGCCTAGAGACCTGCTTTAAGGTGAATCTCCCCAACAGGGACACAAAAAGCTATAAACACCCCCCTTGTTCACTTTATTTGAATAAAAAAAAAAGGTTTTGGCTGGAGTTCTGCTTTAATTATATTTATATACACTCTCAGGCATGTTTTAAAGTGCCTGTGGGTTAATCTTGCTCCTCAGCAATTTCTGTGTCTAAAGAAATTTGAAGTGGGCAGGCCTAAAACCGACCTGTACACAGTAAGTGCATTATATTTCTGACAGCAGCTTAACCGGAGCATTCATCTGATGTACACATAGCAAATGACAGTCTGTTATGTGTGTCCATTTATAATAAATTATAAACAGAAAGGTTACCACTTAACCTAGAAATATGCAACCTCTTTATAATGAAAGAATGCTGGGTGCCTTAGGATATAGACGCAGTTGCTTGTAGTCATCAGAGAGGTATATGAAAGGTGTTCACTACAGAATAAAGAAAGGTACATAACATGCCACTGCCTAAATGTCCTTCTATTCCAGTGTATCAAATATTCATGATCAGGAGTAAGCCGTTTTCATTGTTAGGGGTTTACTGCATTATCCTACCAATCAAGAGTTGTCAGAGAGTGGAAGGGTTAAGGTAATGCTGAACAGTGTGTAATAAACAGATCTGGAGTTGGATGACAACTTGGTAATTATATTCTAGTCTTTTTCAGCCCCCCAAGCAGGCGGGTGAAGTGCATCCCAGACTATGGTTTGAGGGCATAGCTGTCATTCCAGCAGGCTTGGCGGGGCCTGCGTTAAAGCGTGTCATACAAATTGAGGGGATCTCTCCTAATGACAGACGTGTATATAGCATGTAATTGCTTAGAAAATGCAGCACACAGTCTCTGAGGGTATAAAAGTAAGGCAGGATTTTCAGCTCACAAGGTCCCAACCGAATAGGGTTTTGCTGTATTGTTCATCTACTAGTCACGACTGAGCTCCGTGACAACAGGTGGTGGAACGAATCATAGAGCAATCACCTCGAGCCCTCAGCCAAGTCACATCCAAAAGACAGAGCAGAGGAGACACAGAGATGAGATCCATTACATAGTCTCCGAATACCCCTAGGAATTCGGAGAATACGATCTGCTTACCCCTCCTACACAAAATCTGTGCTATTTTCCAGACCAGCCACTTCTTTTATTTTCATAAATGTAATGCAAGGCCAAATGATTGACAGTCACTTTAGTAGGTCACCCAAAGGCTACTCACATTGTAAGATGATTTGTCACAGTAGGCAAGACTTGGTGAATGCTTATGAAATATCAGAGAGAAACACATGAAAAGGAAAATGATGTAAGCCTGCATGTGTGTATGACTGACAATGCAGGACCAAGTATATTGTCCAGAGCAAAGTCACTCACCAATGTCAACAGACAGTGTGCAGAAGTAGTGGTGTATGATGGAAATTGTAGTATTAAAAATTTTGTTTCTTTTCTCTCTCCTTCCCCCTCCATTCCTCCTTACCTTGTCCTTCACCCTTCCTTCCCCCCACCTTCCCATACCCCCCTCCCGACCACACTGAACTCAACTTGGTGTGAGGCATTGAGGATATGCCTATGACTCCCTCACCCCTCCTTCCCTTCCACCACCGAAATAGCCATCCACCTTAACCACCCCCTTCTTATCATACTGCCTG